GGCCACCGAGCAGCCGCCGCCACTACCTAGAGCGTCGCCTGCTGCGGCTAGAAGGCCCTCTTTAGCGCCCGACGCCCCTGCTGGTGGAAGGAACCCGGGACGGCTGGAGCCGGTTCTGGCGAAGAGGAGGCGGGACCGAGAGGGAACAGGGGCGGGGCCTGCTGGGGGCGGGGCCTGGAGCAGTTCGCTGCAGTCTGGGCGTAGAAAATAGCTACACCTGAAGCCGTAAACCTGTAATAAAAGTTAATTTTACTGATTGAGCATTACCTACCAGTGACCGTTACAAGCGCTTAAATCCTTACAACAATCCTATGTATTATTACTATTACTACCCCCATTTCACATATGAGGAAGCTGAGGCGTTTACATTGACCCAAGGTGACAGGCTATTTAAGGGATAAAACCCAGATGCGAGCCCAGCCAGTCTGGCTCCAGAGCCCAGAATGAGCCTTGGTCTGTCACCTCTGGGCAAATCTACAGATTTAAAACACACTTGCCATGACAACCTTTGTGTCTTTCAAGTCTCTCAATAATTGGTCCATTTTACATACCACAAAATTGAGACTCCAAGAGGGTAGGGAGGCCAGAGCTTGAACCCTAATTTCCTGTCTCCCGAGGGCTCGGTCAACTGGAGACTTCTGAGCATGGTTTCTTGCAGACATTTCTAACAAGCACTTGGTTGGGAGAGGGGGAGTGATCTCTGGGTTTCCAGAGGGCCCCACTGGTCAGTTTTGCTTTGAGTCCTGATTTTACACGTTCCTCCCTGGGTTACCTTGGGTTAGTTCTAGCCCTTTTCTGGGCCTGTCTTCCTATCTGAGGAGGGAGAAGTTGGGATCCTACGTTCTCAGAGGCCCTACTAGCAGTGAAACTATTCTGCATAAAACTATTATGGTGAATACATGACATACATTTGTCAAAACTAACAGAATGTACAATACAAAGAGTAAACTGTGGACTTTAGTTAACAATAATATATCATTATTTCACTGGTGGTAACAAATGTACCACAGGAAGGCAAGATGTTACTAAAGGGAAGTTTTGGGGCAGGAGAGGGGGATGAGGGAGGGTGTATGGGAACCTGTACTTTCTACTCAATTTTTGTCAACCTAAAACTGTTCCAAAACATAAAGTTGTTTTTAAAAAAAATCAAAACAAAAAAACCTGACACACAGACTACATCCTAGACCAATCAAATCAGAATCTTTAAGTGTGGGTGAGTTTTTAAAAGCTCCCGAGGAGATTCTAGCATGTAGCCAGGCTGACAATTGCTGTTTGGACTGAATTGGGAGTTGGGGGGGGGGGCAGACCACTGCTGGGAGTCCTCTCTCAGCTTTGGGGTACATTTCCCAGGGAGGTGAGTGGAGATTGGCACAGATTACCTGGAAGGAGAGAGCACCTGAGGGCATGGGGATCCTCTCCTTTGACAGCTCCAGAGCCTTAGGGCTGGTCCCCTGGACTTTGGGGGAGACTAAGGGTGATGTTTAATCAGCCCCTTTCCATGTTGTGGTTCCACATTGTTCCCGTTTCATTCCTTCAGTGTGGACCTGTGCCTTGGCCATGGGCGGGGGGCAGGTCTTAGGAAACAAGACAACCGAGGGGTCAAAGGGCTCTCAATGCAGAGAGCATCAGCCAATCACAGGGACTGTCACTAGGACAAGCAGTGATCGGTCCTGCTGGGGATGGGACAATGTAAGCCCCCCTTCATCGTGGCAGATCAGTGAGTGGGCAGACACAAGTTGTGAAAGTGACTCAGCCAGTGGGCCAGGCTGCAATTCCTGGGCCCTGTTTCCAGTCCTATAAGAGATGGACCAGACACCAGACCACATGCCAAGGGTGCCTCTGGGGCTGTGGATCGGGGAAGGCTTCCTGGAAGAGGTGACTTGGAGATGGTGGGGGCCTAGGCAGAAGGGAGGGAAGGAAAGCTCACCACAAAGCTGGACTAATGACAAACTGGCCAGTCTGACCTGGGTAGGGACTGGCAGCTGCCCTGGAAAGTGAGAGGACCCAGATTTTATTCCCTGGGTCATCCTGGCTAGAGAAATGGATGTGTCTGAGACCCCAGAGGGCAAAGCCAGATCTATGTGTGCCCAGGAAGGGACTAGGGGCGGGAGATGGTCATTGGAGCCACAGACACTTAGTCTATCAGGAGGCTGCAGCGGTCCAGGGAGTGGGCCAAGGCTTTGTTCTGCAGGCGAGACAGAGGATGGGCTCCTCCCAGCCCCTCCTGGTCTCCTCCTGGGCCTCAGTTAACCCCCAGGGACCAGTCCCACCCACTACGTGCCCCCCCTGGCCTCTCTTGTGGAATCCTGGTGGCCCAGGAGGCAGTCCCATAGAGAGGCCTGCTTGTTTGCCCGAGGGGAGGATGTGCTGGCCTGCCTTTGTGTTTGTGTGACTCCATAACCTGTGAGGTGTTCGTATGGGGCTAAGTATGTGGCTGGGTGTCTCCCTGGGAAAACTGGAACCCTCAGTGGCTCTGAGCAGCCCTCTCTCCTCTCCCTTAGGCTAAGACCATACAGGATGATAGGAGTTGGGAGCGGGTAGAGACCAGGCCAAGTGCTTGTGGGATCCAGAGCCCAAAGGCATTGTCTGTGAGGAACCAGGACCTCTTAGGGCAAACCCTGGACTGCCTCCGCCCCACTACCCCGGCTACAGCTGGACACCCTGGCCTGGGCTCAGCTCCCCCGTGTGGTTAGGTCTGGAAGTGCAACCTCCATCTCTGATTTTCCCAGATCTCCTTCCCTGTGTGTAGGGCTCTTGGTTTTCCTGGCAGCTGATGTGGGAAGACCAGGATGGAGTGGGTGGGCAGGAGACCTGGGCTCTAGCCTGGCTATCCTCTAACTTGGTCTGTGACTCTGAGCCTCAGTTTCCCCCACCTTAGTGTGCCTCATAGAGTGGTCATCCTGGTGGGGAAATGACATCATGTACTGTGGTCCTATTCTAAGCTCTTACACATGACGATCTGGACTGCCAGACCCAGGCCCATTGTTGGGTGACCAATGCCTGGACTGAACCAGCCTGGGGGTTTTTCTGTCTGCAGAATAGACCCTGGAGGGTGTGGTCGACATTGACAAGCAGAGGCAGGGATCGGGGAAGGCCTACCCTGGAAAGTGGGTGGATGGAACATGGGTCAGGAGAGCATCTGGGGAGGCCCGTGGGGCTGATGGCAATGACTGAGCACTGCAGGGAGCATGGAAGGGTCCTGAGAGGCACGGGCATGGTCAGGTGGGGGCCCACAGATCACTCTGGCAGGTTGTAACAGGATGGACTGGAGTGCTGAGGCCCAAGACTGGAGACCAATGAGGAAGTGGCCAAAATTGAGGGGCAGCAAGAGTGTGAACAAGACTGCTTATTGGTCTTAGTGTTTGGGGAACTTCTGCCTGGCCACCAGCACCCTTCCTGCAGAGGGCTTGGTGCAGCCCTCATGGGACCGTTGCAGGATGACCCGGAACCAGGCAGGAACAGCTTTGGTCTCCATTTCTCACATGGGAAAAACTGATCACCATGAGGGACAGCCTCTGGGTTGATCTCCTTCTGGTTGGTCCCTGGTTTCACCAGGCGAGGAGCTCCATAAATGAGCAAATACCAGTCAGACAGGATGTGCTGAGATAGTGGTTTCTAAGGCAGCCCCAGGGGCAGAAAGTTCTTTGGCTTTTCTTCCCTAAGGGTCTCACTTGGTGAGTACTATGTACCAAGCACTGTGTCAGATGCTTGGCACAAGAACCCCATGAAGAGGTGCTGATGCTACCTGTACTATACCAGACAGAAGCTGAGACTTCTCTGATGTTTCGCCAAGGGCACACAGCTGGTAAAAGGCAAAGCCTGGATTCAAGCTGAAGGCTATCTGACCTCAAAGACAGCTCTTTTCATCATGGCCATGGAGGGCCCTCCAATAATCGGGGAGCTGTGGGTCCAAAATGCCAAGTACTAGTGCTGAAGGCTAAGGGGACACTGGGAGGACAGTGGGCCTGCATCACAGGGACTACTGTGAGTCTCCACTTGGGCTTCTGCCCCACGAGGAGTGGTGTGGGCTCCCAAGGACCAGACCTCGGCCTCCCTGGGCCCCTGCAAAACAGGCGAGATGCCCTCCTAGACAGCCCATTGGCTACCACCCTGTTCTTCCCAAGGAGGGGCCACAGGACCTACCCAGGAGACTGAGCCACACCCTGGACTGTAGCCCCTCACCCTCCAGACAAAACCTTCTTCCCCCTACCCACCCCCAGAGCTCTGTCACTATGGTCCTACTCAGACCCCTGTGGAAAAGCCAGCAAAGCCAGCTGTTGAGAAAGAACATACCCAGATGCAGAAAATGTCCGTACCAAGTTGTCTTTTTTTTTTAAACTCAAGAAAGGGCTTTTATTGTTTTTAATTCACTTCCTGGGAAGTTAATTTTTAAAACACTCTTATGGAGTTTGTCCATCCCTTGTGCTACCTTCAGAAACAATGATACCAACCAAAACCCTCAGCCATGGAGTGAGCCACCCCACTGGCGCTCCAACACGGGCCATGAAGCTGGGCCCACCTTTGGGCTCTGTGAGGGGCAGGGGGGGGTCCCTGAAACCCCCACTCTCCAAGCTCCAGCATGGAGATGCTCCAGGAAAACATGCTGATGGATGAATGGTCTCCCATGAACTCTATAAAAGTGCTAAGAACAGTTCCGAATTATTGTTTAAGCCCTGGGTTACAATGCCTTAGTGCAGAGGAGCAGGAAGAAATGTGGACCCAGTGACAACGGGCCACGTTCTGCTCAGAGCCTTAAATAGACATAGAAACTATATTACAGATGCATGTGCCAGTGCAAGACATGCTGTGTGCAGCAGATGGGCACGCACGGGGTATGTGCGTGGAGGCGCGACGTACACCCACAGGCACAGAGACTCGGGACGCGGCATTCCTCCAGCCCCGCCTCCTCTCCTTCTTGACAAAGCGCTCCTGAAATGGCAACCTCATGCAGGCGACTGAAATCCTTTGTTTGGCCCATGATTTCAGGGCAGGTATCTGAGTCCTGCTCTATTTCCCTTTGGAGGGTGTCAGTCTTTTGAGCATTTGGTCCATCAAAGCCAAGCCAGCCAGCCAGCCACTGATTGCAGAGAGAGGTCTGCTCCAGCTCCAACCAGGAGGAATGGTGACTGTCCTGGGGTGAGGCAGTGGCGGAAGGCCCACCTCTCCGAGGCCACTTGCCAGCGTGCATGCCCCACCAGGGTCCCGCCTCTAGTGCAAACTCCAACCTGGGCAGTTGGTCCTTCATCACTGGAATGTGAGGGCAGCTTCCAGGACCAGATGGGGAGGCCAGCTCGGGATCGGAGGTTGGATTCCAGTTACTTCAGCATCTGCAAGGCCACAGCTCTTTGAGTTCAGGGCCCTCGGTGGATGTCAGCCCCTCGTGTCTTCTGCAGCCATGGCTTTGGGAAGCCACACAGGAGGGAGGGAGGTAGGCTGGGAAGGGTAGTGTTCCTGGTTCAGGCCTCTGCTCAGACCCTCAACTTAGCCCATTCTCCGGACAATGTCAAGCATGAAACACAATCCAGGAAGGTGAGTCCAGTCTACTTGGCTGCCAAGATCATGGTGGGTGCGCTGGGAACCACCCAAAGCTGAAGGAAAGCTTGTTACGTGTTTCCAAACAGAGTTTGGCATCCAGCTCCTGTGCCAAGTTATAGACAAAAGTAAAAGATAACAAAAATGGAATCTGGATTCTCCAATGCTGGCCCCAGGCCCAGTGAGGCCCAGGAACACCCACCAAGGGCTCAGAGCCTCCATGTCAGTGTTCTCAGTAGGTAAGAGCTCTGGCAGCATCCCGAGGGGGGCAGGGTACACCCCTCCATGTGCGTGTGGCAGCTGAGCCACGCCCACCTGGCCCCTGAGTTAGCGGAGGTCTCTGCAGTGGTGGTAAACCAGGCTTCCACCTGCCATCTTGGTTTCCTGCCTTCCGCCCCAGGACCTTGCCAACCAGCCAGGTGGGGTTCCTAAGGCACCACGGTCACCCAGCTTCCCCATACGATGGGTCCCACCAGGGAGAGCCAGGATGAGGAGAAAGGCCTTGCAGGACCCCTGCCCCCCAAACCCCAGATGACACACATTCCAATCCTGTCCCTGGAACGCACGCGCGGAGGTCATGCAGCACGACGGGGGAGGGGGGCCAGGAGAGGGGCCACAGTCCCCAGCCCCCTGCCCGCAGGGGCGGCTGTTGGCATGAAGGCAGTGGGCCTTTGGAGGCGCAGGATGAGCGTGCTGCTGGGAGGCCCTGGGTGCATGCAGGGGCTCAGGACGCAGCCTCGTCTTCTTGGACGCCAGGGAGCTCTGGGCTCTTACCTCCTTCGCCACACCCGTCTTTCCTGTTCAGGGGACACCAGGGGTAGAGGGATCTCAGGGGTCAGAACATGCATGCATGAAGACACTCTCACACCCACAGGCATTCTGTATCCACATCCCCCCTCACCCACTCCCCCAAGCTCCCCTCAGTCTCGCCCCCCTGCCTTGTGGCCCCTTGCTAGTTTCCCCACCCCTGGTCTCAGCCCTCTGCCCACAACCCTCCACAGCTCCCTATTGCCCGGAGACAAAGACTTCCCAGCTTGGCTTCCGGAGCCTTTCCCGATCTGACATTCCCGAGCTGACTTCCATGCATCCTCAAGGACCAGCCAGATCACAAGTCTTCCCTGTTGGCCTGGATCAGCCCCCAGGGTCTTGGGTAGAGGAGCTTCGGTTTTGCATTTTCTTTTCTTTGTTCACAGGACAAAGTGTACCTATCTGCATATCCAATACTCTTGTATCTGATTTTTTCCCCCTTAGACCTTTCTTTTTAACATGATCAATGAATGGCTTTTGATAACTTAAAAAAGGATCAATCCCATTTAACTCTGCTGTAGAGTTTCAACAATTATCCAAGGCATAAAAGTCTATCAAGGACCAATGTTGGGGCTCTGATGAGGTAAAACCTGCTTTCCAAAATGAAACTTGAGTCACAGAATTATAGAATGTTATAGCTGGAAACTATTCAGCTCAATTCTGTCACAGTCCAAATGAAGAAACTGACCTGTCTCCCCATTAACATGTCCATAAAAGGACAACGATTGCCTTGCGCAGTTGAACTCTTGGCCCCCAGCCCTGTGTCCAGTGTGGACTAGGTGCTGGATGTGTCCTTAGCCTGTAACTGGCCTGTCCCACCGCTAGAGGGCACTGAGCCACAGGCACTGTCCAGGTTTGCTCCTCAAAATCCTGGTTCTGCCTTTGTCCTGGTCTAATTAGTCAATAGCTTCCTCTTTCACTCTCAAAAGTGGCTCCATTTGGATGCAAAATAATGTGGTCCCCTACACCAAGTCCAGTTTCAGTATCTTGGTTTGCAGACCTAGAAGAGCCCTGGGAACCCCCTCCCCCAGGGCCTGGCCACTTTAGGGAAGTGACAGAGAAGAGGAAGTAAGCTCCGGACTGTCAAGGCCTCTCCCAGGCCCCACCCTTCACCCGACTTCAGCCAGGGAATTTGTCAAGAGGAAGGCAAGACGTTGGTCATTGGACCTCCCTGAGTGCAGCCAGCCTCTGGCAGGGAGCAGACACCAGCGTGTCCACCATGATGGGCTGCGATACTTCTTTCTTTTTTTTTCAGGGGGGTAGGTAATTAGATACATTCATTTATTTTTTTTCAGTAGAGGTACTGGAGATTGAACCCAGGACCTCATGCATGGTAGGCATGCACTCTACCACTGAGCTCTACCCTCCTCCAGGGATGCAATACTTCTTAAGGAGCCCACTTACAAGGGGACGGTCACACACAAACGAAACCAGTATCTGGGCCCCTGGACGGCACAAGTGAATCTGCTCCTTCCTGAGAGGCCAAGGTACCTGGATGGTGGCCAGCGCTCCCCTCTCTGGGGCACGTGGCTCCTCTACCCAGCAGACTAGGAGGTACAGCCCCTCCCCCCGCAGCCCCCTTCACAGACTAGAGGAAGGCAATCCAAGTCCTAGGGCCACATTCTGATCCAGGACCCCCTCACTGTTTTCTCCCTGCAGGTCTGTGCACCAGCTCCAGCAGGCCTTGTTGACTTTTTATTTCGAGGAAAAAAGGTGGAAATGCTGGGTATGAGGCTGGGAAACAGCTTTTCTGCCCTCTCCTGGGAGGTGGTGAATGCGCATGCCTGGTTCACAGTGGGGAGCCGCCAGCAATGGGGGTTCCTCTTCCCTGGCCGCGGCAGCCAGCCTGCCCGGGCTTACTCGCTGGATGAGCATTTACAAAGGGCTGACTGCACTCACAGCCTCTGCGATGGCTGGGGGAAGCATGGGCCACTAAGAGAGCAGTGAACACTCCCCCAAGCCAGGAAGAGGCAGCAGAATTGTTCCCCCCTCCACAGATGTGCCAGCCTTCTACAAGGAACAGACCTGAGGCCTGTCTGTCAACCTGAAGGAGGCTGCCGTGGGCTGAGAACAGAGATGGCCCTGCTCCGAGGCCTGGCCAAGTCCCCAGGCTCCAGGCTTAGCGTGATGACAGTGAGACTGAGGGGATGTGCCCCCACCCCACCCCACCCCAGGGAGCATGCTGTAGGCCTCAGCCCCCCAGTACTTACGACAGTAAGTTTCCCGGAGCAGACATGGAGCGCACTTCCCTCCGCGCCTGGGGCTCAAACGGGTTCCCAAAGGAACGCTTTCTCAGCATGGACTTAACCAGAATCTGGGAAGGACATGTCAGGTGAGGCACACGGACCCCCAGGTTCCCAGACACACAGGCGGCCTCCACTCTGACTCCCAGGCTGGTGGGGGCGCAGCTGAGTGGGCCCTTTGCACAGGCAGACAAAGGAAGAGCACTCCAAGCAGAAGGAACGGCAAGAGCTCGGAGCAGGGGTGGTTGAGGGCGGATTCCGGGATGGTGAGGAGCCGGTGCATCTGGTGCGTGGGAAGCACAGAGGCCAGGAGCAGACCAGGAAGGGTCTGGACCGCCAGGCTGAGGGCCTGGGGAGTGCAATTAGGAAATGCCTTCTGGCTACGCAGGAAGGATGGAGTGGAAGAGAGGCGGTCCCAGGGAGCCAGAGAGGAGCTGCAGCAGTGGCCCAATGGGATGTCCAAAGGGGACAGGCAGTGATGCCCTGGCTTTGTCCTTCCTCCTGCCGCAAGGACAGCTCCATCCCCCTGCCCACAGGCACACAAACTCTCTCACACAAGCACGCACTCACGAGTAGCGCCAGAGATGCTTTACTTGTTCCTTCCTTCTTTCCTGCCTTCCTTCCCTCCTTTCTTCCATCAACAAATATTTATTGAGCACCTGCATATGCCAGACAGTATTCTAGGCACCGGGACTACACTGAGGGAAAAATTCTTGCCTTCATGGAACTTATATTCTAATTGCAGGGACAGGCAATAAATAAGACAAATCAGTAAAATATATAATACATTAGTTAGTGGTAAGGACTCAGGAGAAAAAAATAAAGTGGAGAAAAAAATAAAACTTAGGAGAAAAAGAAGGTGGATAAGAAACGACAGAGGAGGTTGGAATTTTAGATCAGAGGCCTGGGAAGGTCACTTCTCACTGAGAAGGTGACTCTGGAGTCAAGAACTGGAGGGAGTGAGGAAGCGACCCTGTGGATATCTGGGCAGGAGCATCCCAGGCGGAGGGAAGGGATATTCAAAGGCACTGGGGCAGCAGCTGACACTGGGTGAACAGAGGGAGGAGGGGAGGTCGGCAGGGAAATGGGGACAGGCAGCCCATGCAGGGTCTGGCAGGCAGTCAGGGCTGTGGCTCTTCCTTTGAGTGACATGGGAGCCTGAGTAAGTGGGATCTGAGCTAAGAAGTGACATCATCAGGTCACTGGACCACTCGGGCTGCTGAGTTGAGCACTGACTGTAGGGAGGGCAAGGGTGGAAGCGTGGAGACAGCCTAGGAGCGGATTCCAGTGGTTTAGGAGCGAGATGATGGAGAAGACCAGGGAAGTGGCAGTAGGGACCCTGCCGAGGCTGACAATTCCAGGGACCCCACAGAGCCCAGGAGCTCTGTAGAGCACAGGGACTTTAGCCAACTGGCCCGAGCTGGGCCTAGACCCAGCAGGGAGGCGTGGACGCACAGGCCAGGGCCAGACCCCACCCCTGGCACGGGCCCCAGCTCGCTCTCCTGGCCATGTGCTCACCCCAACTCGCCATGAAACCTCAGTGCAGGGCAGGCCATGGCTGTCAGTGACCCCCCAGAAAACCCAGAGGGCCATTAAGGGCTATGTGAATAACTTCCAGCTGTTAACGTGGAAGATGTCCAGAGGAAAACGAGAAAAGCTAAACTGTGAGAGGAGAGTGGAGGGAGGACACAGGTGGTGCATGACTGACATGCAGGGGCTGAGACTACTTCTCCAATTCAAAGGCATCCTAGGCCTTTTCCCCTGTCAGGTCCTTGGCACCTTGTCCAGTGCCTGGAGAACAGCAGAATTTCCATAAATGTTCGGAAGGAAGGAAGGAAGGAAGGGAGAAAGGAAGGAAGGAAATGCTCCTCTGGTTGAGGTGAATGTTGACGTGCAGCAAGGGCAGTGTATTTAAATCATTCACTGTCCTCCCCACACCTCTGGGTCTCCCCACCACAAGGCTGAGGAATGTGACCTCATTCCTGCCATAGCCTCCAGTGGAACAGTGGCCTCAGGGACCCAGCATCAGGACTGGCCCACCAGGCAGCCCTCTGTCCCCCACCAGGGCCCAGCACAGAGCAAGTCTCAGGTGGCAGCCACAAGCCCCCCAACCTCCGACCCTTCCAGGCCTCGGCACCTTCCACCCCACCCTCTTACCACTGTGGTCCAGCTGGGGATGAGCTTGACTGAGTTCTTGACCTCCTCCTCGGTCACCTCCACCACGCTGCAGTGCTCCTCCTCTGAGGGAAGGGGCTCCTCCCCATTTTTGGTCACCCAGGGGTGTAACTGTGGAGCAGAAGGTGGTTGAGGAAGGTCAGGACCACAGGCAGACAGATCCCAGCCAGCACGGGGCCTGGGCATTCCACCAGTAGGTCCCTTGAGGGTCCCAAAGCACATAAACCCCAAACCCAAACCTAGCATGCCCATGCCCATGCCCCTGGTGTGAGGCTTCCCCAAAGGGGAAACTGAGGCCTGTTTTCTGTGGCCCAGCCCGGCCCAACCTTGATGTCTGGCACCCCAATTCTCGTCTCAGGGTTCTTGTCTAGCATCTTCAGAATCAGGTCCTTGAGCTCTTCGCTGACCTTTGGCCTAAAGAAGTGGAAAGAGACAAAGGAGAGGCAGTTGAGGACCCTTTCCTTCCCACCTCTCCACTCTACCCTGCTCCAGGCTTCCCTGATTAGCACCCAACAGGACAGAGACACTGCCAACACTCACTTTCCTCAGAGAGAAGGGACACCTAAGGTACCAGGGAGAAGGAGAGTTTCACAACAAGTATGTGGCTACCCTTCTCTCCTGAATAGGACGGAAAGTAGTCTCCCTCGGTGGGCAGAGGCCACAAACACAAACGGAGTCCCATGGGTGCTGGACACCCCCTGGGGGGCAGGGATGGTGAGGATAATATGAGAAGAGTCGCTTTATGGGACCCCGAGGCCTTCACCCCCACTGGCCATCTCATTCTCTCTTCCATCTGGCAGGTGGCTGGGGACGATTCTCATTTGACCGAGGAGGAAACCAAACCCCATATCCTGCCCAGAAGAGCTAGGGCAGGGCTGGGACTCAGGGTGGGGACGGGAGCAGGACTCAGCCTCACACCGGCCTCCACTGCCTGTGCCCAAACTTCAGGCGTCACTGCTACTTACATTCTTGGGAGAAGGAACCCCATCTTGGGACTGTCACCTTGGCTCCCTCTGCTGACCTAGATACTTAATCCCTTTTAAAACGCCTGGGCTGGGGAGGATATCCCTGGCAGGGGTTACAGCTGGAGGGAAGAAGACAGGCAATCACAGGAAAGGGACAGATGCTAGGAAGCTAGTGCTATGGGGGAGGGGAGTGATGTGAGCTGGGCAGGGTGGGGCGGCAGGGACAATGGAGCCACCTGGCAGATGAGCAGGTGGCAAGACAGAAGGGTCCTTGAATGCACGGGCCAGGGCATGCCTCTTCTTGCAGGCTTTGGGAAGCCTTGGAAAAACTTTAAGCAGGAGATACGGTGAGATCTGTTGTGCTTTATCAGGGTCCTCCTGACCTGATTGTGGTGGCTGGTTTGGAGGGACACTGGCAGCCGGGAGGCCAGAGAGGAGTTGACTGGACAAAGCTGAGCCCTGAACTAGGCAGGGGGCACCAGGGCCGCAGGGGGCGATGGAACCAAGAGAAATATAAGAGGTGGACTCAACAGGGCTTGGGGACCAGACAAGAAGTGGGCATGAGGGGGGCCAGCAACTTCCAGGTTGGTTTCTGACGTGCCCCGGGCACTTCGAGCAGATGGCAAAAGAGCCATGAAGAATGAGGCACTGGGTTGGGGGCTCAGGCTGACTGCCGTGGTAGCCGGCATCACAATCAGAAGAATCGTGGATGAGTGGGAACACCTCTCCAAACAGCCCCTCTAGGCTCAGAGACCTCAGTCACAAAGGAAGGGGCAGGGAGGGGGAGTGGCTTCACATCCCAGACCCATTGAGCCTCCACTCTTCCATCTGTGAAATGGGGGAGGGCACTGGCATCTTGAAAGTCCTTCACCCACGTGGGGAAGGTGGAGTTTCCCTGTGGGTGCAGGGTCTGCGTGGGGTTGATGCCACTGATCTCCTGGAGTCCTTCAGGGAAGGGATAGGGTGCATGTGTGGCCTGAGGCCATCCCTGCCTCACTCCCGGCCTCAGAGTTCCTCTCTGCACAATGAGATAAGACCCAAATGTCTCAGACACCCCGCTCACAGTCCCACCCCTCCATCTGCTCAGGGGCCCCCTCCCAGGGAGCAGCATCTTCACCTCCAGATCTGCAGGCTAGGGTGGGCTCCCCCAAAAGGACAAAAGCTCTGCTAAAACTCAGGCATGCCTCCTTGGGGGTGGGCGGGGCCCTGTGGTGGACAACTCACTCCTCTGGGAACACAACGGCCTCATTCTTGATCTTGCGGTGCAGGGCCAGGATATAGTCATCGATGAACGGGCACTGCGGTGGGGAGAGATGAAGGATGGGGGCTCAGTGCTGTGACTCTCTTAGGGCAGCTCTGGGCTCCCTGTGAGATGAGGGGTGCCCCATGTAACTCGTTCAGGGCCTGGCACATGGGAGACGCTCAACATATGTGGACTGAATGAATAAGTCACGGATGGGACTAGGAAGCTGGGTGTACCCGCCAGCAGGACAGCCACTCGCAGCAAGGCCTGTACTGCCAGGGCCTCAGGTTTGGAAATACGCTCCCTGAGAGTCCCTCCTGGCTCTCGGTGCGGTCCCTGGAGTGGGAGCACCTGTGGACAGGGACTCAGCCACGTCAACGCTGGGTGTCTGGCCTGACCCAAGGACAATCTGTTAAATGCATGAACGAGTGAGTGAATGTGTGAATGAATGAATGGCAACCAAGGACAGAAGGATGGGGAACACTTTGGTGGAGTGGTGGCCACACCACTATCTACAGCTCCCTTGGGATGTCCTGCTGTCCCAGGACTCCTGCACATGAATCCCCCGCCCAGGGGCCCAGAGAAAAGCAGAAAAGCCCCTTTCTCCTCGGTCTTCTCTGAACTGGCTGGGCTCTTTCATTTCTATTTTTTTGAAGGGGTGGGGGTGGGTAATTAGGTTTATTTACTTATTTATAAATAAATGGAGGTACTGGGGATTGAACCCAGGACCTCCTGCATGCTAAGCATGAGCTCTACCACTGAGTCATACCCAGCCCCATGGGCTCTTTCAAAAATCACTTTACTTAAGGACACAAAGGCAGGGCCTGCACCTGTCATCATCCTGGCTCAGCTGGCCCAGCCCCTGGTGCCAGGGGTGTGGCCTGTCCCAGTTCCGCCAGCCCACCCAGCACTCACCTTCCCATAGACGAAGCAGTACAGCGTGACCCCAGTGGCCCACACGTCCAAGGCCTAGGAAAAAACAGCTTCACATCAGTCTCCCAAAGAGAAGCCACCCCCCTTGCCCATCCAGTTTCAGTGGACTGTGGGGGAGGACGTGCAGGGAAACTCCCTCCTCAGTCATGCATTCACTCAACAAACACTCCCAGGTCCTTGCTCCATGCTGGACCCTGAGCTGAGCACTGGAGACATGGGGATGACCAGAGCAGAGCCCCTGCCCTCTAGGGTTTCCATGTCTCCTCAGAACAGGCCCAAACCAGACACGTTTTCAACTCAACAGCTGCAAAACTCCCTTCATCTACAGGGTCACATTTGCTGTATTCATGACACAGGTGAACCCCAGAAATGACAAGATGTACTGAACTTACACTCACTAAACCAGCTCTGGCTTTGAGAGGTCACCCTATTTCCTAATGATCCACTGGAGAAGCCACCAGCCACCTTCCTTCTGACACCAGAACAGCCCCCGGCCCTTGGCCACCTCCACAACCCCTTGGAGTCCCCTATGCCATGGGTTCAAACATGTCCTCTCTCTCACATGTCCCTCTCATGAACCCCACCTCTTCTCAAGTCTGCTTTCTCTCTTATGTGAGTGATTCTCAGATCTCTACCTACGGATTTCTGTCACGGGTGCCTCATCTGAATCCAACCAGGGGACAGCAGACACATGCAAACTGACATTATTCTTCAAAATAACAGGCCTGCTGTAAATGGTAAAATATTCTTCTTTCTTATGGGTGAGTTGTATTCCACTACATATATACACTGCATCTTTTTTAATCCATTCACCTATTGATGTGCACTTATGATGCTTCAATGTCTTGGCAACTATAAATAATGTTGCTGTTAATAGTGGGGTGTATGTATCTTTTTGAATTAATTCTTATTTTTGTGGTTGGCTTTATTCCTTTGATAACTATGTAAGTTTAAAAAGCTAAAGCTCTGAGCATTCTTAGAAACAATGAATAGTACCTATATGTAAATTTTTAAATTATGTGCAGTATATTGTGTATATGTATTTACATGCAATATATTGTATATGTGCAGTCAAACTAACAATTCTACTTAATAAAGCTGAAAAACTGAAGAAAAAAAAATAACAGGCCTGTTCTCTTCAGAAATGTCAAGGCCCAGCCACTCTTCCAGATTAAAGGACCTCAAAGAGATGTGACAAGTGAATACAATGACTGACCCTGGGTCAGATCCCAGACCAGAAGAAGAAAAGGCATGAAAGGACAGTATGGGGACAATGGATGAAATCTGAATAAGGTCGATTAGATAACAGTGTTTTATCAATGATAAATGTCCTAATTTTGATCACTGTACTGAGCTTACATAAGAGGACATCCTTGTCCTCAGAAAATATCTGCAGAGAAACCATCTCATAAATTTTTAAAAATTAGGTAATGATTTTAATGTACATATTAATTTAATAGCTAAAATACAAATACAGTGAATGTTTAGAAGAAAATAAAAATTCCAGATTGTACCAGAAAAAAAAAAAGAAAATATCTGCAGAGGTATATAGTGATAAAGGGGGGATAATGTCCCCCACTTCAGTCTCAGATGGTTCCGAAACATGTAATGTGCACACATATAAATATGGGGGAAGACGGTGACAAGGTAAATGGGACAAAATGTCAATAATTGGTGAATCTGTGTAAAAGGATGCATGGAGCTTTTTGTAATTTTTCTGTAAATTTGGAATTATATCAAGATTAAAAGTTAAAAAGTAAGCTCTCCCTACATCTTTCTCTTAAGCTCCACACCCACACACATGTCCAAATACCTCTGGACCATTTCCTTAGTGGCAGGGCCACAGTGGGGCAGCTAGCACTCTGCAGGGGAGCACAGGATGTGCCAGGGGACACAAAGAACTGCAGCCCGTGCCCAGAAAGCTCTGCCCACGGCCTCTGTCACTTAGGAGAAAGGCCAAACTTGCAGACTCTCTAAATTCTGCCTAAGCCCCACCAGGCCCCCTACCCCACACTCCTCAGCTGTCTTGTAAGTTTGCTGGGCTCCACCTCCCACTCAGATTCTCCCCATCCTTCAAGGCCTAGTTCAAACGCTGCCGCATCCAAGAAATCAGGGGAGCCTCCGCCTTCCCCTCAAATATGGGCTCTCCTGCCCTTTTCACCATCTCCAGAGGGGCAGGGCACTGGGCTGTCTGGGCTCCATCTGTTCCACAGCCCAGCCCAGAACTCAGCACAGGGTGACTGGCAGAAATACCTACAGGGAAGCCTTGGGGCTGTTTTGCTGGAAAACGAGAGGCCAAAGTTAGGGGGTTTATCAGACTCCAGGAAGAGGCAAACACGAGGGAGGGGACCGTGTTCAGCATTCACTCCTGAGACATGAGGACCCTGGCACCCTCCGGCTGAAAATGAGGCCCCGTGGCATGCTATCCCACCCTTCCACCCAAACCCCACCCCAGCCCGGGCCCTAGGAGCCACCTTCCCACTGAAGCTCTGGCCGGAATCAGAAATGGCCTCGGGGGCCATGAACGCTGGGGTCCCGGCCGTGCTGGAGAGCTGAGCGTCGTTCCCCTCAAACTGGTTGCTGACGCCGAAGTCGGCGATCTTCACGTGCCCGTCATCCCCCAGGAGCAGGTTGGACGGCTTGATGTCCCTGTGGATGATCTTCTGGTAGTGCACTGCAGAGAGAGGCAGCTCGAGCGCCGGCCTGGGGCGCGGCCGCCCAGACCGCCCACCTGCCCTCACCTGGCCCGGGGGCCTGCCTCAAACTCCAGGACAGACGGAGCCGGGCCCCTGCACACACTCATCTCACGAGGACCTCAAAGAGGATTTCAGAGCCCTCTGCCCTCCTATGCAGTGAAGACACTAACCCAGGCTGTTAGTAACAGAGCCAGGACTGGACTCTTAGGAATCATTGGACTCCAAGTCCAGTGATCTTTTCATGGCAATCAAGGCACCTGTCACTGAGGGTGGAGGTCAGAGGAAACTGGGGGAAACGGTTCTCCATAGGCCACCTCTGGCCACCTCAACACCAATGGGAGTGTTGTCTGCAGGCTCGAAGCCCATCAAAGCCTTTCCCCAGCTCCATCCCCCACCCAGCCTGTCAGGGCTGTCCCTGCTCCTTGGACGAGGGTGAGATTGTGGGGACCCTGCAGAGCTACTGCCTCAGCCTTAGGGAGAGGGAGGGCACTCCAGGCCTTGGGACTGCCGGGATGAACATGGCTGGGGTGAGAGTCAGCCTTCTCTAAGTAGGCTGGGAGCCCACTCTGCTTCCTGGGTCCAGCACTGCCAGGAAGAGACAGGCATCTCAGGCAGAGATGGCACTAACCCATCTCTCAGCCAGCCACCTATGGGCTCTCCCCTTGCCAAATACCTTCCCCTGGACCAACAGATCCCGGGAAGTTGCGGGGGGTGGGGGGGAGATGGAATGGGAAGGAGGGAAGGTAAAAGGAGGAGAGGAAGGCTGGGGGCAGAGGGATTGAGTGTCAAAACAATAAGAACAAAACACGGCCCTATGGCGACTGCCTCCTGTGTGCCAGGTGCACACAAGGGATTTGACACACACCCATCAGAGCTCAAGACATTGTGTAGTTGACTATGGAAAGTGGGCTTAAATTCTTATCTGAAACCCTGGCCTCTCTCTTGAACTCTGAGCTCTTTACCCACGTGGATATTCCGTAGACAGCTCAACATATATCCCCAAAGTCTTCAATCACGTGTTTAATTCAGAACTTGATTTATTGGTCTGTGACAACACCCCGCCCCACCCCCGCCACCCCACTGCCAAACAAATGAAACAGAAAAGCCCTGCTCCTCTTCCAGTCTTTCCAGTTCAGTTAAGGGCCACGTTACCAGTTATTCAGCCCAAAAACCTTCAACTCCTCCCCCTCTCAGACCCCACATCCAATTCATCAGCAAGTCCTCTGGGCTGGACCTCTAATTTATAGTCCAGATCTGACTGCTTCTCATCCCTGCATGTCTGCACTGGCCCTGTCTGTAAGAATCAGGCTCCAGCCTCCCGGAACACAGAGCCTTCCTCAGACAGCCTCAGCTCTCCCTGCTTGGGACCAGAATCAAGGCGGGTCTTCAGCACGCGGTGCCTCCATTTGTCTACTTGTCCAGCCCCTGTTGCTGCCCAATCTGCTCCGGGAAGGCCTTCACTGCTATTATCTGGGTCTTGATGAGGCTTTACCCAAGAGCCAGATGGGATTAGCTCATTTTTTGCCAGGAGGGAGAATGGGAGACAACAGGCCCAGGACAGGAAGAGGGTGGAGGAGAAGCTGGTACAGGGCTGTACCTGCACCGACCACATTCAGGGTGAAATGCTCCCTTACCACATCTCCAGGCCCTTGCTGGGGACTTTCTGCAAAGCCCTCCCCTCTCTGTGCCTCAGTTTCCCCTATGTACAAAGATGGCATTAATTTAAGGGGACTGGAGTGGCTCAAATGAGATAAAGGAATTCACTGTAGGTCAGACCTCAGCTGGTCCTCACCTGCTCCCCCAGGGAGAGAATATACTTCTGATAAATCAAGCTGAGATTTCAAAGGGATGGCCAGTGCCCCACCCACCCCCAACGAGGCCAGAACCCTACGTAGGTGTCTGGGGGACCCCCCTCCCAGTGACCAGTTAGTCACCCAGCGCTGGTCACCCCACGTCCTTCACATCTGCTCCCCTCTGCCACTGCCCTAATCCAGGCCTCACCATCTGTCACTTGGGCTATAGAACCAGCCTCCTCCCTAATCAGCTGGCTGCCTCTCACCCTCCATCCAGCCACCACACAGCTGCCAGATCAAGCTTTCTAAGACACAAATCCTATCACTCCCTCCCCTGCTCAAAGCCCTTAGGCACTCACAATGCTGACAAGATAAAGTCATGAAAGTCCTCTGTGGAGGCACTCCCAGCCCTCATGGTGCAGCCTGGACAGCATTTCCAGCATCACCTTTCACTATCCTAGGCCCCCAGACTGGACTTCTCCCCATCCTTAAATAGTACATGCCCTGTACTCTCTGAACCACTGCCATGCAGTTCTCTCCGACTGGCGTACTCCCTCCCACCACCCCTCAAACTGGCCAATGAACTACTCATTCTTCAGGACTCTGCTCAAAGTGGCCCCCTCCACATCCCTCCCCTGGTCTCTTAGTGCTCTGACAGCCCCTGTGCCTCCCCAGCCTTGGTAGGCACTGTTTAGGTTCCTGTCTTTCCATCAGGCTGTGAGATCCTTGAGATCACTTCTGGGTCTTTGGCATCGACATGCCCCCAGCTGGCACTTAGTGGGTATTTGTAAATGGATAAATGAATGAATGAATGAATGAATTCCAGGGATACAGGCTAAGCCACACCTTCCCTCCTGAGCTCTCACAGTAAACCCACTCGGCCACCACCCATGGGCCCCATACCAGGACAGACTCTTCCTTGAGCAGCTGGACATAAATCTCTTCCTTCCCACAGCCCTGCCTGTGGAGAGACTAAGCTTGGCTAAGAATTCCGCAGAGAGATAGGCAGTATATCTAGGGCGCAGACCGACCTTAGTGACGACCTGGCGCATGCCCAGTGAAGTCAGCCGCTACCTTCTACCTGTTTGAGGTTTCAGTCCCGCCCACAGATCCATTTCTCCCACCCCCCCCCAACTGAAGATGATTGGCAGATCGGCGCTGACTGACAGGAACTGCTCAGAACAGGCTGAGCCTGGGCTCCGCCTCCTTCTGTGTCCCGCTCCCGGGTCCCCAGCCCTAGAGGGTAGGCAGCCCCTCACTCACAGTATTCAAGGCCAAGGATGATGTCCCGCAGGTAGAGGCGAGCTTGCTCCTCAGGGAAGGGCTTGTCGCAGGGCACCTCCATGACCGGCCTATAGGGAGGGAGGAGAGGAGGGATGTTTAGTGGGAATCAGGATGAATGAAAACAGACAGCAAGTGAAGGGGAACAGGGGCTGGGCCACAGACCCCTCGGGACCTCCCAGGAGCCCTCTGTGTTCGAAAAGGTGCCTAGAACCCAAGATATTAGCTTCTTCTCCCATATGGTGAAAACTTGAAAACACACTTAGACGCAAATATCCCTTTTCAATCATTACAGTTTAAAATTAGCTTTATCTTAACTTCTGATTGGCTTGGTATTCCTTCTTCTAAGTACTTAATTATCTATAATCAAACAGTTGTGAAGATGCCATTTAGAGCAGTGTTTTTCAAACTGTAGGACCAACAGAGGGTCATGAAATCAATTTAGTGGGTGGCTACTGCTTTTTTTTCCTTTATAATGAAATAGAATATCTCAGATATATCATATGTAATAAGGATATATACTGTTTTATAAAACTTTGGTTTCAATTATAGATATGGATGGATGGCAATGTCAAACTTGTATTTCTTACATTGAATGGAGGTCAAAAATGCTGAAAGCCCCTGAGCTTTAAAAGGACACCACTTCCTGCCTCCTTCCCAAATCGGTCTTTAGGTAGCCTCCCAGGCAGGGAAACAAGCCACAGCCTGTATTCAAGGCCTCAGCGGTTAGGGTCTCTAGTCCACCCAGCCCTGTGCCCACTACTCCATGTCTGCAGCTCTGCACATACCCTGAGAAGGTCCAGCAAGGCAGACATGTGTTAGAACCCCAGATTTCATTAGCAACTCGCTGTGTGACCTTGGGCAAGCCACTTACCTTCTCTGAACCTCAGCTTCCCCTCTTGTAAGTGGGAGTGAATGGAGTCCCAGCCACCCAACTCACAAACTTGTAAAACTGAAAGAACTCTTTGTCATTGAATACAGGAGAGAGTTGAGTCCCAGCACTACACTTTTGCTGGAGTAATATTCCTTCTCTCTCCCTCTCTTCCGTCAAATCTTTCCAGTTCTTCAACATCTGGCTCAAAATCCACCCCCTCTTCCAGAGGCCTCCCTGACTATTCCAGCCTCACTGACCCCACCAGCCTTCAAAGAATTGTCCTCTTGGTCTCTCATGTCCCCCACCACCCCCAGACCCCAGCTCCCCAAGGACAGAGCCTTGGTCTTTTTTTCTCTCCTAGAGGAGCTGACCCTAGGACGAGGGATACAGGAGGGAAAGGAAGGCCTGACCTGCCTGATTGGGATGGGGAACTCACCCCTTTCTCAGGAGGTCAAACACTGAAAGAAAAGAGAAGAAGAGTAGGTAAGTGCAGCCAGGCTGAAAGAACAGCCGAAGGCAAGGTCCCTCCTTGTTCTGGAGGGTGGGAGGCGGGGTCAGGCATCTAGCCATACTTGCGGGAGGAATAGGACAGGGGTCCCAGGGTATCAGAGGAGGTAAACAGGTGACAGTGGGTCTACTATGGACCTGCCTCATCAGATTCTCAGGTGCCAGGTGAGGACCATCAGCCTGGACCCCTTTTACAGGGGGGAAACTGAGCCTCAGAGAAGGGGCAGGATTTTTCCTAAAGGTCATAGCAGATAGGCAGGTAGGAAAGGGAGTGGAGACTAAAGCCTTGGCCTCTAATTCCTAAGCCAGTGTGCCTTGTGCCCCATTCCCTGAGAGCCTCTAAGCCCAGCCCTGAATCAAGCACCAAGGACTTAAATAATTAACAACATTACTATTACTAACAATAATAGTGTCTTGCATATAACTTACAAAATTCTCATATCAACCCTATGAGGTATATACATTATCCCCATTTTACAGGTGGGGAAACTGAGGCAGATAGGGTCTGGGAATCCACATTACATAGCCTACTTCCTGCATCTATCTGATCCGCTATCTCTCCGATCAGTGGAGTAGGGGCTTGGGAATATTTGATGAATCTAACTGGATATTCTGAGCTTGGCTGAGAAGGGCTGGGTGAGAATCTGGGGCTTGAGAACATGAGTTTCCTCCTTGCCCCCAGGAGGTCAGTGCATTCACACCGCCCATCTGAAGGTCAAGTGTGTCCCCGGGGAGCCGTCGGACCCACCCCAGGTAAGTTGCTTTGGGAATGAGCTGGGTCACTCACCCAAATAGAGATTGTCCTCAGCTGGGTCATCCAGGACCTGGTGAGAGGGAGCAGACATGGGGGCAGGGCTTGGAGAGGCATGGGGTGGGGGGTCCCAGGCCTCCTCGTCCTCACCAGCCTCAGGACCCCTAGGATGGTCCGCAGCCACCCTGGACAGTGGAGCAGGAACCATGCAGGCACCAGACAGATGACGACTCACAGAAACACTGGCCCCCAGCCCTGGCCCAGCACCCGGCACCCGGCACCCAGCCCTTCTCTCTTCCTGCCATGATGGGGACTCTCACTTCTTGCCTCCGAGGCAGCTCCTCCCCCTCCATGAGAACTCGAGAATATCCCAGATCAGCCTAAACTGACCCTGGAAACCTCTTGGCAGCCCCCACCCCACGTCTGGCTTTGTCCTCAGAGGCCTCAGCCTCACCCCCTCAGCAGGATCCCTGGTCTGCACCGAGTGCTCACCCCCAGCTCCTACCTCGAACAGCTTGACCACATTCACATGGTCCAGCTTCTTCAGGATAGCAATCTCCTGGTACACCCGCTCCAGGGGCAGCAGCTGCTTGGCTGGTCCTCCCTGGGCAGCCTGGGACCCCCTCGGGGGAGGGCGACCTGTGACCAAGAAGGGGAGTCCAGCCTGTTGCAGAAGGCTGGGCCTCACCTCGGCCCTGCGACCAGCCTCAAGCAAGACTCTTGCAAGGCCACGGCCATGGCCTCAACTCACCAAGCACATTCCTACTAGCAGACCTTTGCTCACGTGCTCCCTTGTCTACCCCTAGTCCTAACAAAAACTAGCTTCCGAGGTTTCCTCCTCCTCCGCCCCCTGGCCAGGCGCTCCCAAATACAGGACCAGACAGATACTTACGTGGAAAGCCATACTGCTTCAGTAACTTCTTCTTAGAAAGAACTTTCATTGCCTGAGGAGGGAGGGGTGCACCTGTCACTTGTGTGCAGGGGTTAGAACAGACTGGACTGAGATCTAGAAAAGCACACAGGTATCTCCCACTGGCACTGAGGGAATGACCTGGGTGTGATTAAGTTGGAGTAGGAGGTGGCCATATCTAAATCTAGGTCTTACTCCTATTCCCCTCAACAAGTCTTTCTGGAGCTCTCCCCTTGGAGGCATCCAGCCTCTGCTTGCATGTTCCCAGGGTCAAGAAGTTCATTCCTTGCATACCCTGAGCGACAGGGAGCTCACTCCCTTCACAGACAGCCTTGTCCTCTGTCTTCCCAGCACAGCTTCTGCCCACCCCCCAAGGTTTCTGGGGCCCAGCTTGGGCAACACCTCCCTCTGATCCCCAGACTCACATAGTGCCTGTCTTCACTTTCATTGTAGGCCAACCTCACCACGCCATAGGCACCCTGCAGAGAGGCAAAGGTCAGCAACCCTGGCCAGGGCACCCCCAGGACTAGCTTGGGAGGAGGGGAGCCTGAACAGCTCCAGCCCCCCCTCCTCCCACATCCTACCTCCGCCCCTGCTACCAGTGGACATAAATTTCAGGTGGGCAGGGAGAGGGCTCCTATGCCCTGGTCACTGCCCCTGCCAGGCTCAACACAGCTCTATGCCTTCCCCAGTCCCTCCCATCAGAGACTCTGGGGAGTCAGGATTCAGGAGTCCTCTCCCACCCACTACCCCAATATTTCCTACAGAGGACAAAACTGTCCTCGCTTCCAGGCTAGGGCCTTCTTGGCTCAGCCTCACATTGCCAGAGGATTGTGCCAAGCAGAGGATCCGGACAGGCTAGTCTGCAAAGCCCCAGGACAAGTTCCCACTGCTCCTGGCCTGCCCCCAGGCCTACCTTGCCAATCTCACTCTGCAGCTTGTACTGGTTTAGCTGCACACAGTCCTGGGAAAAGAGGAGGGGCATCAGGTAAAGCTTGATCCAGAATCAGCATCACTACAGGAGCACATCCAGAGACCAGTCCTAGCCCCAGGCCCCTTACTCCCAGACACTGGATCTCATCAATCTTTCAGGTTTGGATAGGGAAAGGCAGTGGTACTAAGGCCAAAAGTGATACTGAAAGTGACAAGACCTGGATAACATTTGAAAACATGAATGGTGAACCATGCCTATGCTTTGCTTCCTAGGAAGTGGCGGAAAAGTACACTGATTCCTGCCTGGATGCTGGGGTCTGGGAGATCCTGATGTGCGAAACCCTTGAGCAAGTATTTCCAAAAGCAGCTGAATGAGGAGGTCTACATTATATGGACAAGAAAGATGAGGAGGGCCTTGAGGACAAGAGACCAAAGCCCCAGGTCAGGCATGAAAAGTTTAGCCTCTGAAGTCTGTAGATTGCTCGGTACCTGAGTTTACTTTCAGATCTAAGTGGCAAGGACGGAGCCGGGGGAGCAGAAGCTGGCAGCAGGCTGGCAGCTTCTGAGTCAGAGCAGACTCTAGGAGGCAGGATCAGAGGTGTGGGCTCAAGCTGGGGAAGGCTTGGGGGATAGAAGGACACACTGTCTTCAAATGTCTAAGAGGACTTCTTGGGGGACAAGGGAGGGGCCTCTTTCCTAGGCCTGGGGTAGGCGTGGGAATGGTGGGATTTATAGGAGGCAGCAGTTGGCTCAGATGGAGCCCCTCTGGGTGGGAAGAGGCCATAGAGTGAGGTAGTGAGCTCCTCAGCTCTGATGGTATGCAAACCAAAGGCTAGACAGCTGTGTGGCAGGGATAGGAACAGCAAAAGGTCTTCATCGTGGACTACTGAAAAGCACACCAGCACCCGCTAGCTCGGCTCCACCGACCTCTGCGTCTGAGATGGCCACGTGGTGAGACTCGATGGTGGGCCTCCGCCAGGCCCGTGGGGAGATGTGGCTGGCAGGTCCTGTGGCATAAGGCCCAGCCTGGGCCTCCAGGCAGCTCCCTGCTGGCCGCTCCTGCAGGGAGAACTTCCTGGCCGAGAGGCTGGGCCGGGCTGCGGGGTGCCTCAAAGCACTGCCGGGGATCACGGAGACAGCTCTGGCCCGCGGTGGAGGGTCCACGCAGTTCCTGGTGGGCTCTGGGCTGCCATCTGTCTCCTCCAAGTGGGCCACGTCAATGGCTGCCACTCGCTCCACCAACTCTGTCCGGGGGTCCTGGCAGCAGACTGCTGGGCCCCCCTCCATCGCCAGTCAAGGGGGTCCTCTGTGCAGCCTTATGGGGAACCTGAGAAAAGAGGGCAGAGAAAGCTTCAATCCTGGCCAAGGAGGTCAGATTTCCAGGCCCCCTTCCTATTGTAGCCACAATCTGTGGGTCCCACCTCCAGGCCCTGGCCCTGCCTGTTCCCTCTGCCTGGGCTGCCAGCATCCAAACTCAGGTTTGCCTGCTAACTGAAGGAATTCCAGGAACTCATCTGGCTCCACTGTACACAGCCCTCTAGACCTCAGTATCCCCATCTGTAAAGCAGGTACAATCACGGTGGCAGACTTGCTGGCTTCACAGGGTAGCAGGGAGAATCTGATATTCTGGAGTCAGGACAGACAAACACGGACAGAACACTGGAGGCTCAGCAGTGCTGGGAGAAACAGCCCAGGGTCAGCTCAGGCCCCCATCCTGCAGGCAGTACAGTGACTCACAGCCCCACCCCTGGACAGCAGAGCATTCCAATGATGCCGAGAAGCTGAGCTGGGATGAGCTGGGCACTGGTAATGCAGAGGCCGTCCTGATGCCCCAGGACCCCACCTCCACTCCATCACGGCCCGGGAGAGCCTGCAGCCCAGGACGGGGCCCATTAGGGAAGGGACGGCTGCTTTGGTGGCTGTGGAGACTTCACTGCACTTATTTCTCCTGGTTGTTCCTTCCAGTTTATTCAAGTCGCCACATCTGTTCAGGCTGAGACGCTCCCCCTGGCCTGGCCTTACACCCACCCTGGCCTTACACCCCCAATCAGGCCTCGCGCCAAGGACTAACTCCAGCTTGAACCCCAAACCAACCTCTAGTGTCCAGTCCCAGCCTTCATGCTGGACCACAACCCTGGGCTGATCCCTGATCCGGGGCTAAACCGGACACTCAGGCTGGGATTCCGTCTCTGCCCCAGGCTGAGCACTGGCCCCACCCCAGCCAGTGCCCCTCCCTCTTCCTGGGCCAGACTCAGCATCTTCTCAGGAAAAGGAAGTAAGGGCCTTCTGACCCTCTGCCCTTCCTGTCTGGTGGTGACTTGCGCCGTAATCACACAACGATTTTGAGAACACGGTCTCCATTCCACCCCTCGTTCCCCCGTCAACTTGCTTTGACAGATGTCAAGGAGGCAGGGCTCTTTGGAATCCACTGGCCGGGAGCCTGGGCTGGGTTCCAGTCCTGCCGGTCAAGCTCCTTCCCGACTCTGAGCCTCAGTCTCCCCACCTGTACTACAGAAGCAGAACCTTCCCAGATTCCCTAGGGCAAGGCTTGGAGATGGACTGTAAGTGAGAATGTGGTCCAGACCCCGAGTGCCTGGCACAGTGCACTGAATAAGTGGAAGCCTGGAGGTGATGGAGCTGATAGTTGGAATGTAAAAAGGGAAGGGGGAAAGGAATTCAGACTGACAACAGAAAAAGACATGGAGGCTGGAGCCAGAGGAGTGAGGGGAGCGGGGCTTGGTGAGGCTAGAGCCTCAGGGAGGCCTCCTTGGAGGAGGTGGAATGGGATTAGAGCATCAGAGAGGCTTTGGGAACCAGGCTGGGGGCAGGAAGGAAGCAGCCAAGGCTAAAGGGAGCCCTCCAAGCCTGGCCCACCCACCCGACTCCTCCCTCTAGCTGGCCTACGCTGGCTGCCCCTCCCTCTCACTCTGTAGGCCCTTTTTCTCCCACCAGAGTATAAATGCCATAGATTAGGGCACTTGTGTGCCTTGTCGTCATAAGGTCATTGATGTCTGCAGAAGTGTGTGGCACATAGTCGGAACCTGATAAATATCTGTGGAATGAATGAGTGGTTGACGTAGTGATCATTGCAGTCCTTGCCCCACTAGACAGAAGGGAAAGCAGCCTCAGAGAGGGGACCCCAACAAGCCTAAGGCCCCAGGGAATGAACCGCAGTGTCAGGAACTCCTGCCCTGTGGTCCAGGGCAGAGACCGAGGGACTGAGAGCTACCACAGGCAGAGACCACAGGCTGCCCCAATCACATTTGCATATGATTTCCCTGAGGCTCTTCTGTCAGCCAGGGGCAAGGATGGGCCTAGGGTCACACAGCAGGTCAGGGCAGAGTCTTCCCGCTCCAGTTTGGGACCTGTCACCTGGTTTAGGGCCCAGGCTCTGAAGCCAGACTGCCAGGCTACGCCCCTTCCTGGCTGTGTGCCCACGGGCAGGTGACTGCTCTTTGTGCCTAGGTTTTCTCCAGCCACAGAATGGGGTTAATAGCAACCTCACCTCCCAGCAGTTGTGAGGAGGAAAGGAGTGAACGCCCTTACTGGGCTCAGAACCCCAGCCTACCGCTCAAGAAGCCCCGTAAAACTGAGTTGTTGTGCTGCTGTTGTTGTGATTGCCTGGGACACAGGGTGGCCCAGATGGATGCGCGGGCGGCACAAGGCAGCTGTGAGGGCTGACGTCAGGCCCTCCTCCCTCCCTCCCGCCTGGATCACATTCAGGTGACTAAGCACGTCTGCGGGAGGCAGCCCTGGGGAGGCCCCAGGTTCTTGCCTCGTGTCCAGGCGACAGGTCCTGATACTAGAGGCTATGTGTGTGAGGCTGTGTGTCCGAGTGAGAGAATACGTGTGAGCAGGGCTAGGGTGACGGTGTGTGTCTTTGTGTGTGTGTGTGTTAGGGGTCCGCACCCAGGAGCACATCCGCAGGGAGACAAACATCTATGGCTGTGGTCTATATGCGCGGATAAGTGTGTTCATGCGCACTCGGTGCTTTTAGGTCTCCGTGTACGTGTGCCCCAGGACTAGGCGCCGGGGGGTGGGAAGTGCATCCCTGGACCATGGGAACTTGATCTCAGAAGGTCAAGTTTGATCCTCCCATGTGGTCACCAGTCCACCAGCCTGGGGCTGCCTGCTGGGCTGGGCTGGGCTGTGTGTCTTGGGCAGGACGCAGCCCTCTCTCAAGGCCCACCCTAAGCTGAGGCCTCAGTAGACGCTATGTAGGAACTGGCTTGGCAGGTAGCTAGGAACCACGTGAGCAAACAGAAGGACAGACAGGCTGGCACCCAGGCCCAGGGCAGAGCAGGGACCCGTACGGGCATGAGGAGCCTCTTAGGGACCAGCCTAGTCCTCCAGCCAAGAACGGCCTGGCTCAGGCCTTCCCTTACTGGGAAGAGCTACCCTAGTCCATCCTCCCAGACTGTGATGTGTTACCTCGGACAAGTCATTGAACCTCTTTGGAGCCTCAGTTTCCTCATATGCGAATCGGATCGGTGGCCACCACCCTGCCAACTCCCAGGGTTATGGGAGGAAGTGGATGAGATTGTGGACACTGAAGCAGGTGGTGCCTAAGCAGTGTGGGGTGTCACAAAGCCACCGAGAGACAGCCTTGATGTACAAAGTACAACCCTGTATCTGCCCCATGGCTCTGGGACGGCCTGGCCGCTCAGGCTTCTCCTCCCAGGCTATGTCTTTCAGCACCAGGGGTCTGGCTCCAAATCCTGTTTGGCCAGACCTCCTCCTTATCCACCTGGGTCCCTCAGAGGAGGCCAAGAGCAGGACAGGGCAGGCACATCCTGCTCTCACTCACACTTGTTCAAGCAGCCCCACCTGGGATGACTTCAGACACTCGTCAGGCCTCACCCTGAGCTTCTGGAAGGCTGCTGTGAACCTCAAGGCCAGGTTGAGCAGGGGACCAGCTACCTAGGCAAGAAAAGATGCAGCCCTGACAGGCTGAGGACTGGCCAGAAGGGAAAGCCATAAGGAGGCAGTGGAGCCACCCCGGCTAGACACAGAAGTGGTCTTGACATCCCTGGGCTGCCTCACAGGAGCCGTGTTTATGCTCCTGACAAGTGTCTGGATGGCCCTGGCAACGGGTGTCCTCCGTGGCTCCCACCCCCGCTCGGGATGACTCAGTACCCTCGAGGGAGGCCCAGGCATCTGGTGCCAAGTCATGCTTAAGAACGCCTGCTGCAAGGACGCCCCCCCTCCCACCATCTCCAGGGAGGCCCCAGGCACTGAGGCGGGCTCTGTGCCTGATTCAGCACAGCAACCCTCGGCACATCCTCAGCACCCCTTGGCTGATGGTCTCCTGGTTGCTCCCTCTCCCTCTGCCCTTCCACATCCTCCACACCAGGTTTGTGCCTCCAGCCCAACTCTTTCCAGCCGGCTGCCTCCTCCCCTCCATGTTCCTGGGCAGCTCTGTTCCAACGCGGCTCAAATTCAACTCAGCATTTCCCCCAAGTCTGCTCTTCCTCCTCTGTCCCCATCACAGAAACAAAGGCCACCATCCTCCCAGTTCTCCCAGGCCAGAAACCCAGCAGCCCTCCTTATCATCCATCCTCTCCCTCTCACCCATCCTTACTCCCCCAGCCCCACAGTTATTCTCCACCCTGGCCACTCCACAGTACTCACAGCGCCCCAAACTGCAGACTCTGTTCAGCTGCCGGATCTTTGTACAAGCTGCGCCTTCTGCCAAGAACACATCTCCCTCTCCTTTGCTGCCAGGACAGTTCAGACATCTCCTCCTCTGGAAGCCCTCCCTGATCTCCCCACTACTGGGTTAGGTAACGAAATCGAACTCCTTAAAAAGTCTAGATTCAGACCTCGACTGTCCTTTCCCACTGCTCTGCCACACAGGCCGCCGCCTCCAGGCTCACACCCCAACCCACCTCACCCCATCCTCTGTACCAGTTGCTAGAAGGAATGTTCCTAACATGCCAATTTGGTCACAGTTCTTCCAGACCTGGCCTTCCAGGATCTTGGAATCTGGGAGACAGAAGAGCAGGAGACCTAGCCTCAGACTGGGGCTCACTGGTTGGGGAGCAGCCAGAGACACAGACTTCTGGGACACAAACCCAGAGTCATTCATTCATGCAACAATCACTGACCAGCTGCTGTATGTGCCCAGGTACTGTGCTAGGTAATGGCAGATAAAACGGTGAACCAAAAAGACAAAGTTCCTGCTTTCACGAAGTTTAATCTCTAGCGGGGCAAGAGGCAACAAACAAGAAAGTCAGGAATTAGCAGACGATACGTCAAGCCCTACAAACTATGGGGGAAATATGCAATCATGTAAGGGGGATCAAGAGCAAGGCGCTAGGGGGCGCTGTTTACATAATGAGGTCAGTTAACATCTCTCTGATGCAGGATTTGAGCAGAATCTGAAGGAAGTGAGGGCGCGAGCAGCATGGACATCTGGGAAGGGCATTTCAGGCACAGCAACTGCAAAGGCTGTGAGGGGAGACAGTGCTTGCACTACTATCTGAGGATCAGCAAGGAGGCGGGGGTCGCTGGAGTGGGGCGTTCCACATGCGAGAGGAACCCAATGGCAAAGCAGAGTGACACCTGAAAGAGAAGGCCCAGTCATTCACTGTGCCTGATCTCAGGGAAGGATTCCAGGAGGTGGCATTTACGATCTTTCATGACCACTGAGTAAGGATTTCAGAGGAGAGGATGGAAGATCACACTGTGCATGACAGAGAACTATTTCCTGTCTGGGACTCAGAACGTGGCTTTGGGGTCGGTTGGAGGTGCTTTATGGACAGAGACCAGGAGGTCTCAAAAGCCAGAGGAGAATTTTGAGCAGGGGAGTGTCTCAGATGGATGAGGTTTTAAAGTGATCCCTCTGCCTTCTGTTGGGACTGAAGGTAAGAGGCCAAGGAAAAGGCAGGGGTCCCTAGAGTCTGCGGGCCTAGGACATGGTCTGGTATATCGTGGGTGCTCAGTCTGTATGTCCTGAAGGAAGGAGTGAGGGCCGTGGGGGCGGCCAGTGCATCCTCAAGGACACAAGCTCTGCACCCCTCCCGACTCCCCAGCCCACCTGGCAAATATACAACCCCAAATGTGCCCACCAAGGCACAGTCCTGTGACCTGGGACATAACCTTTTCTACACACCCCTGTACTCTCAAGACACACACACACACACCCCACTCCCGGAACAGGCGCACGCCGATGTCCGCGTGACCCGCCCTCACACACCACTCCATCCTGTAATGCACCCCCCTCACACACACAGGCACACTCCCGTGTCCACGTGACACATGCACACCCGCCTCCAAACACCACACACAGGTCACCGCGCACGTGTGCACCCTCCGAGCCACCAGTTCTGTCTGTGCTGTCGGGCCGCAGAAACCGCAGCGTCCACCTCCCTCGCCCACCTCCCCCTGGCCCCAGCCTGGGAGGACTGCGCAGCTAAAGCCACGCGCGCCCCATCTGTCCCATTCATCCCCCCGCCACAGCTCCTGCAGGAAGGCTCACGGGAGGGCCGTGTGGGAGGAGCGCTCCGCGCAGATCCACACGTGGGTGCACCCGTCTGGGCCCACTCCACATAGACACGGCCTCCCACCAAGAGCTGGGGCGGAGGTAGTGCGCCGCGTATGGACGCGGTCCCGCCGACCAGAGCTGGGGAAGGGACGCAGACGGCGGGGCGCCCTCATAGATGCGATCCCAGGTGCCAGCGCAGATAGAAGCAGGCTCCGGGAGGTACCCCACAGACCGGGCCCCGCAGACCGAAGGGGGAGGATCCCCGCATGGACGAGGTCTCTAATGTCCTTGCAGACGCAGCCTCGCAGACCATCCCTCTCCTCCGCAGGCTCCGAGCAGACGTTCAGACATTAGTTCTCTCCTGCTGCCCGCCCCAGGTCCCCTTCCAGCTGACCCCTACCTGGGTGCCTGCGACGGTCTCCG